GATGTTTAACAAGACCGGTCCCAACACCAAGCCCTGAGGGACACCCCTCATTATCTATTTCAATTGGACATTGAGCCATTGGGTCAGTTATATCCTAGAAGTAAGGGTACCAATACTGCTTGGATAATGCTGCCACACACTAGTGTCTGTGGCACAGCAGCACAGGGCTATACGAAGTACTGCTTCGCTGCTTTGCAGTGCTGACTAAAGCACTCAGCAGGTGACTTAAGATTTCTAAATCTTAGTTTAGGAATGTAATCTAAGTTTAGGAAAGACTATAGTTCAGGAAAACACAGCCCAAAACACCTTGGAAAAGACCTGTTGTATGTAATCTTTCTGTGTTATTTTACTTATTGTATGACACTATTTTCCAGAGCCTAGATTATAAAAATACTTTCACTCTGCCTTTTTATCCAGTTCAAACAACAGATGGTTTACAAAACTGTCAACAGCAGGTGGCAGTTGCACGTATCCCCAAGCAGTGCAACTTTAACTAGTCAAATGCATTTCTTCTCTCAGCTGAATAAGGTAAAGATTCACAATGTTGTGTAGGATATACTTTCAGAAAACCCCAAATTGAGACATAACAGAATTATAAAAAGTCAATGATGTTTTTCCTGAAGTCTCACAAACTTTTATGAGAATATCTAGCCAAAATCTGGTGATTAAACATTTGTCAATGAAGAGAAGCTGTTCTCCACAGTATGGGCTGAATAGTCTCAGAAATAAATCTCTGAAGGAAGCCAGGCCCTAAAGAAGGCAGGAGCTGAACTTCAACTTACAGGAAAAAACAAGCACCTGAAGGAGGAACAAGAGATAAGACAATGCTTCTGCACAAAATTATTTGTGCTACAGTGCATTGAGCATGAGTCCCTGAGAGACATGGTGTCAAAAAAAAAACAAAACAAAACAAAACAAAACTGTAATTATTATATAGAAATAGGATTATAGCCTGTGGACACAAGTAATCCATCTGAGAGACTCAGCAGTAGCTGGAGTACTGCGTAAAGATATTGGTCCTGCACTTCAAGGAGGACATGGGCAACAGCATGTCTATAAGACAAGATATAAAAGATTAAGGTTTCATGCATTTGGCATTCTGAGAACATGATAATGATCTTCAAATATGTAAAATACTGCTTCACAGAAGAAGGAAACCATCTGCTCTGCTAGGCAGGGAGGACAACAAGGGGCTGAGACTGCAGTAAAGACCTGGACATAGCAGGTTTCTGACTGACAAGACTAGATTTGGGGGAAGATTACCTGGGACATTGTGTTTTTCAGAACCAGTAAGAATACTTCTGCCAGAAACGGCACAAGCACAGAGGTCCTGCCATAAGGCAACCTACAAAATGATGTCTGAGGTACTTTTCTGCTCTACTACAGTTTAACACACTTCAAGTTTGACCAAATGTATGGAGTATGCTGTATGGAAAATGGCTGAAAAACACCAGCTCCCACTGTCTCCAGGAACATTTAGCCCTTGGTTTTTAGCAGCTGACCTACTCCCCACATAACAAAATCAGTAACCGTCTCATTTTCCAATGTTTGTAGGCTCCCATTAAAAGTTACCTGTGCTTAATTAGAGAGATTTAAGATTACTTCTCAGTGTTGAGCAGGCAAGGCATGACATAACTTTACTGCTAACTTCTTGTTGCATTGTATTTGCAACAGATATATAGTCTTCTAAGTAGTGTCAGCCTGAACACTTCGACAAAGTGCCAGTAGTAGTAACAACAATGGTAATGATGATGAAGATTTTGTATGGAGATTAGCAAAATCACACTAGTTTCTGATTCACTAATGCGCATTTGAAACCATTCTTATCCTTTGTCATTCTGCTCTGCTGTTCATTGTCAGAACACCAAAACTAGAAACATATATGGAAACCAACCTACAGTCATAGAAAGGCCAGTGCAGTTTGTAGCTTCAGCAAGTGTTAGCAGGCTAAGGTAAGCTTGAAGAATTACTCTCCTTTCTACCAAGGTCTACATTTTACTAAGCTGTAATGTAAGACTTGCATAGTGAGAATCCTCAGGATAATTTGTATTTGTTATCTGTCAGATAATTGGAGTAAAAGAAGAAAAAATGTTTATGAAAGTGGATTCAAAAGGGTTATCTGCATTCCATTCAAACATTGATTGTACAGTCCACCTACTTTGCTATTCTTCTATTAAAAATCTGTAAAACTAAACAAGTGCTAGCAAGTAGAGAAGAGCACGAAGAGGTAGAACAGGAAAATTCTGAAGATGAAACGAATGACAAGTACATGTATTGCCTCAGGTTCAGACAAGATAAATTGTTTAATCTCTCAAAACTTGTATTTTTTCAGAAGAATCTGCACATGGTGAACACAGTGGGCAGAATATAAGTAGCTAAAAACAGCTACCTTTGCGATGTGCTTATGCTTCTATACTGCATAAAAGATGTCAGTTTTGAAACCATCTTTGAGATGCAAGACTTTTTGGCAGAAAAAAGGAAGTGGCACTTTAATATCTAAATACACAAAGGTTAATGTTTGGACTTAGGGCTTTTAGAAAGAAATATGTATAGTACCAACAACAAGCAAGAGGTGGAACTCGGCACTCTAAAGAGTTAAAGTGAACTTTAGTCTTCCACCATTCACCCTCTGGTACTGTGTCTTCATAAATTTCCCCTGTTTATGGAGTGTTTTTGATGGCAAGCAATTCTTTGTTGAAAGTTAAGTGCTCTTTTATATGAATAAATAAAGAAGGCTTTGGTTTGAATGAATACATTATTTTGACAAATGTTTATTGGAAACCCAATTATGGCTTCATAAATCAGTGCTATCTGTGGCACATCAGGTGACCTCACCCATGCCATCAAATGGCACGTTGAATATTAGTGGGATAATTAAAACAATTCTGTTGAATGTTGTCCCTCTTACCCAGGTCTGACAGTAGTCAAAACAGGAAGAAAATGTTTATTATTTTTATTTAATTTATTAAAATACTTCTTGTAAGATGTAATGGACATACTTAACAAAGAAGAAAAAAACACATTTGTTTTCAATTTGCAGCTAGATGAAAATGACAAGGTCAGGCACAATTCATGAACTGAATGACAGCTGAATTTTAAGGGTCAGCAGGGAAGAGAAAAGATACGTATGAAGTCTATTGTTTGCACTTTACACCTAGGTGAAGCAGGGCTTTGTTTTGTCTGAAGTGGTCACTGATGATATGAAATATGTCTAGAGTCAATTCATGTGCTTCCTTGTCCTCCCTGGTACTGTGATTCTGAGTTAGAATGACCAAATTACTGAGAAGCTATTTTCATAACTATGAAAATGAAGGGAATCAAAGTGAAAATCTTGAACTCAAGGTCAAGAAGAAAGGAAGGAGGTTAAAGCTGACAACAAATAAGTCTACAGGGGACAAGCTAACAGGAATTCCCATCTCTTGAGGCCCTCTGGCTGATGACAGCAAAATTGAGATGTTCACAGTATCTATGGCAGGACACCAAAGATCTGTTTAAGCTTTAAGAAAAGAATCTGCATGATATTTTGTGTGTACATGAATTAGTGTGATATAAATAGCCACCCAGATGCCTGTTTTACCAACTCAACTTCAGTATAACATTCTTCTCAATGGCACAGAAGAGGGAATGAGGAAATATAAAGAGAAAACCAGAAAGCAGCACAACATTCAGCTTTTCGCCCATGGAAGAAAATGAGTGTTAGATGTTAGCTAGAGAGCTAGGAATTTATCAGTTCACTGAAAGAAAAAAAAAAATCACCAAGACAAATTTTTTTGTTTCACCTGAAGTAACCTTCCTCCAGAGCAAATCAGGCTCCAAATTTCTGGCATCTGGTAGCACGCAGGCAACCTGGAGGCCCCAGGGTTGAAGCTCCCTGGAACTTAGTGGAACTTCCCATTTAGTACTTCTCAGAAGCTCATATTTCCCCAGAGATCTGCTTCTCAGATAATGTGCAAAGTTGAAGTCTTCTTCCAAGTAATAGACAAATTTTTGTCATTTTCTGCAAGATAGACATAATATTCTCCCTATTCCATTGTACCTTGCCCTCATTCTTTCTCAGGAATTCAGATAGACAAAACAGTAAGTGCGGGAAACAATGTAGACCTATCTAGTATCCTATTTTTTCATAGCAAAATAAGAGTTCATTCAGCCTAAAAGCAGGCATGCACTTTGCTACCAAGGGCACCATCACCAGCAATAAATACTCTGTAGATGAAGGGGACAATTTAGGGCAATCACGGTGCATGAAGCAGGATGGAGCCATGGGCTTTTTCTCTTACTTAAGCAGCCATTTTGGGGCAAACCAACCTAGAAATCTCTTTCCCAGAGTAGAGGAGTGAAAGTACTGGTTTATATATTCATTTTAGCAGAAAAATTTCATGGATTGTGCTTTTTTATCTCTTAACTTCTGGACCCATGTTCTACTTCCCCTTAAGTAGAAATGAAGGATTTTAGAAGTAAACTCTTTCTACTACACTTCTTTTTCATCCATATCCTCAAAAAGGCAGACCATTCAGCCCAAGAATGAATTTGCTTCAGTAGGATTAGGGAAATGTAAGTGGTTGGCCTGATAAAGAGAACTATGGAAATGGAACAGGAAAGAAGACACTTTTAGAAACTTCCCCAAGCTGTGCTAATGCTGGAAAGGTAACAAAAAAAAGGCAGTCTGCAGTCCATCGCCTTGACAAAAAGACTCAAGACACAGCTCTTCAACACCTTAGTTATCAACCAAAGCATCAGCCCTTCCTCAAAGTTTCATGGAAGTTTGTTGTCAATCAATAATGCTAACAGATTTGGTTTGTGGCAAAGTTTATCAGGTTTTCTTATCTCTAGTCTCTTTTCTCAAGCCCTGTTTCCTCCCTTTGCCTGTGGCTACTCTAAATGCACATGTGAATTACTGGAAGGGATTAGGGGGGAGAGAAAGAGCCCCAGTTTTCATAGTTCAAATTTAAAATGCAGCAGCTCTGAAACACTTAGGTTTAGATCTTATTTCTGAAGAAGCTTGGCTATCTACCTTATTCCCATTGTTATGGATTTAGCATTTGAACACAGGACTGAAATTTTGCCCAATTTCACTCTGCCATCTGCCAAAAAATCTTGAGGGACAAGCTGATTATTCTATCATTCCCAAACCCTGTAAGTGCAATGCATCAGGACAGTTGCTTCTCTTTTCTACAGTGACAAAAGAAACTGCACCACTGCATACCTTGCATAGCCTCCTTTTTCAACAGAAACCAGCATTTAAAGTATTAAATCTTAGAGCTCAAAAGAGAGGAAAGCTTCAAGGAAGATAGTTCTTTTATATGCAAGACTCATGTTGCCATCCATAAATCACTCAGGCTGCTATTATAATCCAGAGGAACAAGCTGGCATCACCCCTAAACACAGAAGGTTGTGAGAGATTATCAGAACAAAACCAATAAAGGGGTCATTAAAACACCTAGAAGTTAAAATACTTGAAAATAGCTCTCCAAATTTTCTTGTGGCAAGACAGTGATTGAGCCATAAATCAAAGCTATTCTTCTTCAGGGGATATTTAGAAAGAAGGTCACACAATTTGTAACTCTCCTCATCTAAAGAACTGCAGCTTTTACGCTAATGGGGAGAAGCAGATAACTGATCACCACCCTCTATTATTTCAAATACACTCCTTTCCTTCCAGCAAGAACAGAAAAGCAAGCTTTGTTTTCAATAGAGTCAACATAAATTAATAGAATATTGTTTTAATGCTAGCTTTGATTTGATTAACTTTTAGCATTCCCTATGTTTTATTCGCATTGCTAAAAATGGAAACAGTGGATTGTGTTGGCTGGATTAAATTACTTTTTTTCAAAAGTTACTTTGACCAGAACATAAAGAAATATTCATGTTAGAAAGGCTTTGTAGAGCATCACTGAAAACAATAGTTATTCAGAGCAAGTAACTCTGATCCATTATGCACTACTCAACCACAATACATGAGAAAAAATGACAGAGGAACAGGCTGTCCAGCAGCATTTGCTTTGAAGTCCACACAATAAAAAAAAAAACCTACATTGTTCACTGCATTATGAAATTTTGAAATCTACAGATTTTCACTCTATCTTTGTGTCCAGCTTCTCCATCAACTTCATCTGAACATGCCTGTGGTCTGCAGTAAGCAGTGGGATGAAAACGCCTATAATAAACAACAAGAAAAATAATACCTAACACCAGACTAAGAATACTTAGGATGCTCACAATTGTAAAACTTATTTCCTTAATAATGGAAGGTTTCCAGAACAGGTATACAAACAGAATACCTAGAGTTACAACAGTGTGAGTAGCATAATAAATAGAAATGCAAACTTTTGTTTTTCTCCCCTTTATGTTAAAAAAGGTAAAAATTAGAATGATTCCAACAACAGTTCTGTACAGATATTCCATCTTCTTTGATTTGCAAAATGTTGTATGTTGTTTCACAGTCCAGGTGAAGCCACAGATCCAAAGAAGTATCAGCAGAATTACAGAACTTCTAACACTTAGTAGCGTGATCAGTGTAATACTGAGTATCCAAGAAGTGATGGTAAGCAGTTTGTAGAAGAGATACACTACCTTGGAAAGCACAGGAAATTCATCTTTATCAGGCAGAGATTTTCGTAATGAAATCTGATAATCAACCGCTGAAAAGGAGATACCACAAAAGGACATAATAATGGCAACATCTATACAAAACAAAAGAAAAAATGTTAGACCAAACAAAAAGATGTTTATTTTATGTTATAATTTCTGAATGAACTTTTGGGCAAGTTCATGTTTTCTTAACACTTTCTTTATATCAATTAATTTCATATTTCCTCCATGCTCCTGAACAAGTCACCTTCATTTTAAGGCTCAGTTTAGTTACCTAAATCTAGGCATCTAATACTGCTTGGTATGCTTCTGGACATTAATTAATTACCTAAGTTGTGTGTTGTATTTGCCATCTCCATTCACAGGTGACTTAGAAATTCACAAAGTATAGCAAATATCCCATAAAAACTTAATTTTCTGCAGCTGATACTGGCTCTGGGGTGTCTATAATGACAAAACCTATAAGCAAGACTTGACCCTTCACATGATTATATTTAAAGTAAGTCAATGTCTTGCCAATAATTCTGCTAGTTTTAGGGCTGAAAATGGTATAGTTGCTGTCTTGCTTCTGAGAGCTGAACCATATCATCATATGGTTCTCTTCATCATACTGCACTCTGCAATGCTGACATAGTCTTTTCTGACTCTGTTCCTCATCTGTAACATGAATGATGGTAGTGACAAAACACAGGGCCGCTCTAAATACATTACTGATTCCCAGATGCTCATTTAGCAGTTTTAAAAGAAACTGTAAATAAAAGCACATAAAACAAATGGTTCTGCAAATTATATACTAATTGTATTACTTTGAAGTGATGTATCATGTTTCTATTAGATACTATGACTTGTTATAGTGAAATCTTTCTTCTCATGGATTGAGCAGAATGGACCATCTATTAGTCAGAATTTCTAACTAAATGCAGAGTAATCATATGGCACAGTGTATCTTTTCCAAGGCATGTTTAAAACGTTATCCAATCACAAGTTATCTTTTTAGGTAAGATACTCAACTTGCAAATTAAGGAGAAAGACTCACATTGAGAGAAATTACTTTTGCCATATTCCATGAGGATATAAATCTGGACACAAAGTTGTGGTGTGGTCTCAAGAAAAGTCTTGAATACCCTGAGCATGTTAATATCAGTTACTACATCAACAGCTTGTTTTTCAAGGAGGTTGGGAGAGTCAGTTTCTGATGCATCTCCACTGCTTTTTTGTTTAAATGCAGCTTGGTAGCCATATTTCAAAGCAAACCAATACCTATTAAAAAGAAGACTTGATTAGACAGTGGCTTTTAGAAGTACAACTCAATAAAATGATATAGCCTGACAAAGTTTTTCCAATGTCATTCTCCATTCATATTTTATCTTTGAACATAATACAGCATACTGACTCACTGAACTACTGCTTTGGAAGCCAAGGGAGGTAGGCAATGCCATTTACTGGGATAGATTAATTGGGAAAATTTCCCATAAACAGGATTTTGATCGTAACAGCCTTCAGAAATCACTTTTAAGCCTGATGTCATGGTTTAAGCCTAGCTGATAACTCAGAAGGACTTGGGGGTGTTGGTTGACGAGAAACTTAACATAAGTCAAGAGTGTGTGCTCGCAGCCCAGAAAGCCAATCGTATCCTGGGCTGCATCAAAAGGAGTGTGACCAGCAGGTCAAAGGAGGTGATCCTGCCCCTCTACTCTGCTCTTGTGAGACCTCACTTGGAGTATTGTGTGCAGTTCTGGTGTCCTCAACATAAAAAGGACATGGAACTGTTGGAACAAGTCCAGAGGAGGGCCACGAGGATGATCAGGGGACTGGAGCATATGAAGACAAGCTGAGAAAGTTGGAGCTGTTCAGCTTGGGGAAGAGAAGGCTGCGTGGAGACCTCATAGCAGCCTTCCAGTACCTGAAGGGAGCCTACAAGGATGCTGGAGAGGGACTCCTGACTAGGGACTGTAGTGATAGGACAAGGGGTAATGGGTTAAAACTTAAACAGGCTAAGTTTAGATTGGATGTAAGGAAAAAGTTCTTTACTGTAAGGTGGTGAGACACTGGAATGGGTTGCCCAGGGAAGTTGTGAAGGCTCCATCCCTGGTGGTGTTCAAGACCAGGTTGGACAGAGCCTTGGGTGACATGTTTTAGTGTGAGGTGTCTCACCCCATGGCAGGGGGGTTGGAACTGGATGATCTTAAGGTCCTTTCCAACCCTAATTATTCTATGATTCTATGATTCTAAGCCTGCTAACGTGCAGGCTGGCAAAGACACGGTCCTGTGCCTTAGCTTGGCTCCTACTTCCACTCCTGAATGCTGCACCTAAGATGGTTTCAAGATCCATGCTGAAGTGCCACAGGTTGCCAATTCCCTGATTGTCCATAGGATCATATGCACTACAGAACCCATGAAACACATGCAGTTGCATTTCGCTTACACAGAAAACTGGGAACAACAGATCATTAGAAACCTGGATCTCACAGAATCATTCAGTACCAGTATGATATTGGAGCATAATCCCCTTCTGCTTACAAAGAGGGCTAGGAAGAATTCCTGGCTCCTCCAGATGTTAAAAGTTTAACACCTTCACCACCTTTAAAGACCAAATCCTATAACCACAGAGGAGAGAGTGTCAGTGGTTCTTCCATAGCTACAAGCAAGACAGCCAGGATTTGCAGGTCGTGGGTTAAGTGCACACTAAAGAAATCATGACTTATTCCTTGGTATGTTAAAGCATGTTGACCATACAAGTGAGAATTGCTGCCTGGAAGCATCAGTAACAGGTGTGGGGCAGCTACGTTACTACTGAGAAGCTTTACAGGAAGATCCTTTGACCTTCTCCTTGCAGAGACTTACAGACTGCAGCCCTGCCATTCAGGCCATACTGTGAGCTGGATTTAGATCTATCACTCCCAAAGGACACTGTTTTCTACTTTTATGTTTTTGTCTATTTATACTGTTCTCTGAATAATTGTTCATAAGCAAAGAACCAAACTGGTTCGCAAGGCACCTATAGCTTTTTCAGTTTATACAAAAACTAGTATTCTAAAACATCTGGCTCTTGTATCCAAGATGTAAACATGCAAAGAGTTTGCAGTGTTTTCAAGAAAAAAACAATTGGGTGGACCAATCTATTACTTGTCCATGGACTCATTCACCAGAACCTGTGTTTGTCCAAGCTGCAAGAATTGGAAACCAGCTGCACAAATTTCAAGCTGCAGAGCTCATAGCTAACAAGGCAGATAGTATGCAAGTCAAGAACCAGAGGTGTTGTAAAAGCAGTATTTCATCTGGATGCACACCCGTGCATCACTCATCAGTTTTCAGAAGCATATTCCTTCTCAGTATGGTATACTAGGCTTATGTTATTATAAGATGGTATGCTACAGCATTTTTCACTATTTCAGTCCATACTAAAGGGTAGGTCAGGCTTAAATTTTCCACCTGCTTTCAATGTCCTTGAATGATACTGCAAACTGCTACATATTAGTGGACTCCAGAATTGATACTGAGCTCCAGGAAAATGTCCCCTTTTTCCATATACACTGTGTTACTGTATTTATGCTGTTACGTCAGAGTCTGTTTTCAGTGATATCAACATCTGTGTGGCCCATTTAAATGTATCAGTCTGAAAATCATTTCAATCAACATAGCTAATATATGCTTCACCAACTTTATCTTGTCTCCTTGCAGGAAATAATATTGCATATGGCCATAAAGGTCTACATTCCTAGAATCATAGTATAGTTAGGGTTGGAAAGGACCTTAAGATCATCAAGTTTCAACTCTCCTGCCATGGGCAGGGACACCTCACACTAAACCATGTCACCCAAGGCTTCGTCCAACCTGGTCTTGAACAATGCCAGGGATGGAGCATTCACAATCTCCCTGGGCATTCTTTTCATTAAAAGAAACTAAAGCCTTATCAGAGAGGAAATAATTTTAATTCAATTTTTTCTCTGTTGTTAATACATAAATGTACATAAGTGTATACACACATATGATTTCTTTATTTATGATTTAGCACTGGTGGTGTGACAACACAACCAGACTGATTCCCATTGTGCTGTGCACTGTACAAATATAGTGAAGCTCCCTGATTCAAAATGGAGCAAGAGGTGTAAAAGGTATACAAGAGAGGGAAGAAGGAAAGAAAGAAAGACAGAAATGAAGATAATTTGGTAAGATGCATTCACATCTCATGATTTCAGGAATCCTAAGTTCACTGGACAAATCATAATTACTGGCTAGGCCCCTATTTTCCTCTGTAGTGAATGGAGAATAAAGGCTCCCGTCCCAGATAACCTTCTGGAGAAGCTCACCTTAACAAACATGACCTGACTCCTAACTAAATCTATTTTTAGTCATTGGCTGTAGAGATAAACCTGAGAGACTCATTGTTTAAATTAACTGGATAAATAAATCAGATGATGAAGAGGGAGAACAGGAGGGGGTTGTACATGGATACGCCTAAGAAAACACATATAACAGAAAGTATGTAATAGTTGATCACAAAGGTACAAGAACAGTTGGCAGCCTGCTACTATCAATTTATACTTTACAACATGCACTATCACACTGTTGAATTTTGAGGAGTGGCTGAAAGAACTTTGTAATTTATACGTATCAACTTGAACATTTTCCAAGCATAAGTGACAGCATAGGAGAAAATACTTGTGCAATAAAGAACAAGTGAACAACACTGTTCGGTGCAAAGGTCAAAATTATGTGTACTAGATAATAATCCACTCGGAGAAGATGGGGCTAATTCTGGGACGGAAACTTCAAAAAGCGTAGAAATTCATGGTAAGAGGTAATAATTTGAAAGGGTATGAGTTCAGGTAAATCCAACAGTTTATTACTTTAGTGTACTACTTTAGTGTTAAGCTAAATCATTAAGATTTTCCCATAAAGGCATCATTTTTAATAGATACAAGCACCGAGTCAAGATTACGGTGTCTAGAGTTATAGATGATCAGAGCTTGGATCTGAATTCTGAAAGTCTTTGTTGGAATGTGAAATAGAAAAGTGTCTTGGAGATTGGCACTTAACAGCAGGAAACTTTAGGGCCAACCTGGAAGGGTAAAACGAAGCCAAAGGTGAAACTAGAATTACCATCCTGAACAGATTACAGAGGATGAGGTCATGGAAGAGAAAGGGGAAGGGGAGTTTTGGCCAGACACTGAAAGAGCAGATTCTGCTGTTCTACACCATGTGTACTGGTTTAACATTTATCATCAGTTATCAGAAAAAGCAGTCATGGCTGTAATTTCTTTTGGAAGAAACAAACTCAGAGAGTCACAAGTACAAGAATGGCACACCCAGCCATAACTGACGTTGAAAAGCTTTGGGGACTGACAAAAAGGAGTGTACCACAGCAGACCCCAAGACATCCCCTCTGACAGGTGGAACCTGGCAGTGTCCCTGTGTCCAGGTCTTTGTTTATCTCACAGAAACCAACCCATGTCCATGGATCTGGTTAGTGAATAAGAAACCATTCAGAGAAACTGAAGAAGGATCTTCTTTTTCTTCAAAATGTAGTCTTCCTAAATTTTTCTAATACCTGGCAGCAAAAAAAATCAACGCTGTCTCAGCAAAACCTCCTCTGTGAAATCTAAAACTTCATGATTGTAAGAGGAGGAGGAGCAGGAAAGTAAAACTGACAGGTAAAAGGAAAAAGAATATCAAAAGGTAAAAGTTAATTGTGACACATAAAAGCTCTATCATTTTCCTTAATCCATCATAACACCAAGTGCATAAAACTTGTGTGAGGGAAATTTTTACACTGGCATAAACACATCTTTTATCACTACCCATAGAATTGTATAGCAAGTTAAAGGAGGTAAGTATTAAATATTTCAGTATGTGCCTCTGATAAGTCTAGATTCACTCATGTTTCTTGCATGATGCATACCCAAAATAATTAAAATTCAGGACTTTTCACCAACATCTTTCACCTGTTTTAAAAGTTTCTCTATAATGATAATTTTATAGCAAAGCCACCACAGAATGTTAAGCATATGGTATCTTAAACTATTCCTGGACATGTGTCTTTCAGCAAACAAAGGTTCCTGTAATAATCAACACAGTCCCTGTGGAAAATACTGCTGTATTTTCTTACTAACTATTCAACTATTAATTTCTTTCCTGAATATTGGTGGGGTTTCTACATACGGTTAGACTCTCAGGTTCAAAAATTATCTCTTACCTCAGCTATCTCATCTGCTTAGTGTAATCAAATGAATCCCCTTCTTAACATAACTTTTAAAACTATATCAGTTACAAGTGTTACTCTGTAAAGTAGGCATTTTTATTAAATATACTGTATCAAACGGCTGATGAATCAAAAAAGAGTTAGGCTGTGAACTATAAAAATTACTAAGTAAAGGTGAAATGAAAGAAGATCAATATTTCCCTCAAAACCTGACATAATTTACCCCTGGCATAGCAGACAAAAATCCATTTTCTTACATGGAGCAATGATTGTTATGTCCCTAAAGCCATATCAAGCATTTCTTAATAAACTGTCTAAAAGCAACATGATTACTCACTTTAAAATAGATTTTTAAATCTGCTTACCTTATAAAAATTCCACACTGGAAGAGATGAACTAGGAAAATCCATTTCATCTTCCCAGTATCAATACATTCCCAGTCATTTTTAAACCACTCATAACTGAATATCTGAGTTATTAATAATGAAAGACCTCTAAAACACAGTATCAATATACTCCAAGAATACTGTCCTTGACAGAAATATTTACTAGCTACCCAGAAGTCCACTCCAATATCAACTACATAAATTATAATTCCACCAAGTAAAAAAATAAAATTCTGCTTAGTAAATTTCATCATACATTAGTCTGTCACTTTGTCATCCTCTCATCACTTCATGTAAAGGAAAGTCAGAATTAATCTAAATGCTTTCCTACAACAGAGTCTTTTTCCTGATACCACCTGCTCATAGTGCTTTCTACACAGGCAAATTGGGTTATGCATTTTATTATGCCAAAGGGACTTGCATTTTTTCTGTATTCTTGATTTCAATACTAAATTAACTTCACTGATACAGGTCTATTCTGGAAAAGCTACATGTAAATTATCTTTAGTTGACGTGGTCATTCTTCATTACTGGTTCCTAAAAAAGAAGAAATAGAAAGGAAGATCAGCAGTAATAATATTTTCTTTTAATGCATCATAGAGCAATTCTCACATACATTTAAATAAAGTACAAAATGCAGAATGTACCGAGATATTAGTGAACAAGAGAAGCTGCGCCTCTGAACTTGCTGAGGTCACCCACTCTCCCAACCACAGTGACTCTCCACTTACCAAGCAGCTGTTGAGATAATTCCCAACAGTTGCAAAACACTAAGAAACAAGCTTACTTCTACTAGTTTTTAAAGCCAGTTTACAGCAAAAAAAAAAAAAGATTGATTCCTTTCCAGAACTTTCTTAACTTCTGAGATCTTCTCCCTTAGTGTGCACAGCACAAAACACTGAGAAAACTGATGTCTTGAGTATACACAACTGTATCAACGTACACTTCACTATGTAATTTCCAACCCTGTTACTGCATTTGTGTGCATCCGTCTAGTGGTTTCATCCTTTCTGCTTTTTTATTTCCATACACAGCACAAAAGTTCTGAATAGGATTGCAGCTCTCCTGTTAAAGAGACTTGTAAGGAGCCAGACCTGCATCAGTCTACACTTCATTGGGAAATGTCTCCCAACCTGAGTAGTAGCTAGACAGAAATGACCTAACCACATAGTCTACTACAAATAGAATAAATTCACAGCTAGAACTACCTTTATATTGGCCAACATTGCAAGGGTTCTTGGACCTCTTTAAGTAGTCCTTACACATCTTTCCTCTGTAGAACCATGGTGTTTGGCAGGTGAAACAGAAAGCTGTAACAAAGTCCCTCCTTTGTTTCATTCATCTCCACCTTTGCAAAGCTATAAGCATTAAAATGAGAAAGTCCCTTATTTCATTTGCAAAGCTTAGGAAAAAGATGCTGGCAACAATCCCAAAGGATGGGATCCAGGACATGCCAAAGCACAGGGTTTGGGCTTGTACCAGTGCCAAACAGAAGCAGACAATACATGGGAACAGCTGCATCAGGGAACTCAGGGCAGGGGAAGGGTGTGTGGAGACAGACTTTAGACTTCTGTGAATTTAGGCACACTGCCACGGAGGAATGAAATGAGACAACTGGTTAATATCCCATGAAAAAAGATAATGATTATTCATTGCTTGTGTTGACTGGGCTAGTCTGTGCTGTGACTCAGGTACTAAAAAAGAGAACTTAAGCTTTTAATTTCCAAATGAAAACAAGTAGGAACATAACAACCTTAAAAGGTGCTCAGTGTCTGAACATTATATTTATTTTTTTTAATCTAGGCCCTAGATAATTCTAGCCTCTTGTTCTGTCTCCTCCTTAGGTTTCATATCCTGGCCCAGAAAAGGTCAGAAAGATCAGGCGATCTAATAGCTGGGATAGCTGGAATACTTTTACTGTTCTTGCCTAGCTTCAGCAATAAAATGCTATTAATATCTTTCAAATAATTTCATCAATTTAGATCCAATTCACAATCAAGACTGGGGACGTAAGTTTGACGCGAAGTCCAACATAAACTGAATTTTGTGTTTACAAGTATTTCATAATCTGAAAACTTGTGTAAGAATCAATTTAAGAGTTTATTACTAGGTTGCATTCAAGAAAATTCTAAAGGAAACTGTATTTACTCTGTGTAAGAATATCATGTTATTCTGCAGCTTGATGTACCACTTTTGTATCCTTTTTTTGTGGCAAGAACATTATGCATGTTTTTTAGGGCAGATTAAAAAAAGTAACAGGTTCATTACTTGACTGTTGCAGGAAAAACAGCTGTAAAAGTTAATTGGATCCAAACAGAATGTTCTTCGGTTAGGAAATCTATGAAATAGGGAGTATACCAAGGTTCACATGTAATGAGTAATGATGTATGCATTTGAGTGGCAAAGAGTAGGCTCTAATTTTGTACCTGAAATTAATAAACAGTGTAACTGGATTTCTCCCTTTTTACAACCTCTGTATCCTTTTGTATCTGATCACTTCACAAAGAGGAATTATCCCATTATCATATTATCCCTAATAAGAAAGGAAGTTTTACAGGCTATGCACAGACTCCTCTGAATCAGCAGCATAAGGAGTAGCTGTGAGACAGGTGATTTCTACTTCTGACACACATACTGCCCAAACTTCTGCTATGCCAGCAACCTGCAAACCTGTCTGGATGTCTTGGTCATATATGAAGCCATCAGGTAAACTGAGATAAATAAGGAGCCATACATTATCAAGCACGCCAGCTTGCTCACAGTCTCATAATTATCTTGAAAGAGCCTTGGAATGGCTGGTAAAACATAGGGTTTACATTTTGCTTATGGTAACCTAAAAAAAAAAAAAAAAAGTCTATCAGAGACTCACAAATCTGAATTCCCAAACATTCAGTATCTTAATACCAAGCCCAAGAACAAATGCCTGCTCACAGGTGCACATGAAATCTCTGTTGAAGATCTCAGCCCTTAATATCCCCTATATTTTATGCATGATAGCACTCCAAAGAGCACCATGGCCTCATGTACCAGGTGGGGGACTATTACGTGCCACAGGAGAGAGCGTCTTGTATCAGTCACAGTTATTGTCCCCGGTCTTACTAAACATATAAGATCTAACATGACAGGAGCAAGAAAAGTAAAGTGTTTGCCAGCCAACATAAATACAAAGCTGTTCTAAAAAATAACATACTTCTACAGAATCATTTTGTGAAAAAAACAGAAACAATAAAATGTGATTAACAAGGCCTTCGGTTCTCACAATATGTTTAAAATGCTACACAAAACGCAGACTTACCTTAATATTGGCCACAGATAGAGATTTTTCACTATTTAAAAGTATAGATTTGCATATTTGCAGGTTTCACATTCATACCTTTACAAGACTTGTATTCCAAGAAAAGATAAAGGGCTTACTGACATATCACAAACGGAAACTAAAATTATATGAAAACCACATGACACAGTTAATGATTTGCTACCTGTCAAGAACTGTCATTCTTCTATGTTATAAAAATTCTATTCTAAAAATTTAGTTTAGGAGTCCCTGTCTATACTTAGTACTAAGTTTAATATAACATTTCCTACAACAAATTAATTTCACACTTTATTCATAAAACTAAAAAAACAAGCAAATAGTATCATTTTCCCTCTGTATGTTAATACACATGTAGATGTTCCAATTTAGACTTTTAGTTTGTTAGATGTATTGATATTTATAGGAATATATACAGGCAGATGTGTGTGTTTCTATCCATGTTTGTTTATACATATATACATTTATTTATTTGCACACACATTTATGTATTTCAAAGATTTACAAAAAAAAATCTCTTTGACTATAATTAAAAACTGTAGCACAATGCACTTTAAAATATGTACAAAAAGCTTTTCAGTGCAATGATACATGAAGAGAATGCACATGTCCAGGGACAAGTGATTAAAATAGTTCTCCTCTGGTAAAAACACAGGAGTTTGCAAGAGTCTGCTCCAGCTGAGCTATGGGCACTCAACATATGTACAACTTTTATGCATGTTTAAAGAGCTGCAGGTGTTGTGATTCAGCCTCTATGACTGTGCTGCACAGGATAATACCCTCAGCCAGAGACACTTACAGCTTTTCTAGCTCCCAGGGACAGGAGATACAATCCTACCTGTGTCTTTACAGGAAATAGTATCAGTGCTTTTTGCCTTCCTGTTTCCCCCTTATAGCTTAGTAACATCCTAAACCTAAGCAGTTTTTGCAGTGCTTGAAATACCATTATTTTCATGTCATCACTTGAAGAACAGGATCAACAGATCAAATTACTTTTCCAGAACTTAAAAAAACAGTGTCTGAATCTAAAGGAGTACTGCATAATTCCTGGTTCAATTGCACATGGCTCATTCCTGCAAGACAACACACTGGGAATCCATAACAGCCTTCTGAGTAAGTGCAGCAGAGGCCTTTCTGTTGGTGCAGAATCATCTCACTGATGATTAAAAACTAACAGGCCTACTGCGTGCATGCCCAACAAGCTCTTCATAATGGCTGTCAGCATCATGACTGCACTAATTCAAAATGTATTTGTATATTGCTCCACAATAAGCTAATTTCAGAGAATAAGCAGCTCAGCAATTACACCACTTGTTCTGTCCTATACATGATCAAATGAATGCAAGCACTCTGTTAGAATATGGGTCTTGTGGACAATATTTCTTTCAATGTTGGACTAAGCTACTGTGTGTTTTTGCATCAAATTGAAGGTCTGATACCAGCACAAACCTAAGTAATTTTCTCTGCTTCAATTAGTGTTAACAGGACATTGTATATTTTATCTTTGGAACAGTTGACTTATTCCAGACAAAGGTACTCACTAGGACTAGCATAGAAATAAACAGGATGAAACACTCAGCTAAAAAACTTTGGGATTTCTGAAGATTCCTTGTGTGTTTTACTTTTTCTACTTAAGCTTTGCAGTCAGTGAATGTTTCTGCCATCAGTATTTATGGAAGTTACAGAAGAAAATGCATGGTTTGAAATAATGTGTTGACTGATGGCTTCGGCTCAGTGTAACAGATTCATCTGCTTTTTCATTAATTACTCCAATGCCAGTATTCAAAGGTGCTAAAAAATGCAAACAGTGACCTTGTGGGATTTTCAGAAATGCCAAACTGCATTTTGTGTCTCTCACAGTTGTAGAAATTCAGTTCTTCACCAACTATCACATTGTCTATCACTAGAAGCCTCACTTTAGGTTTTTTGGTTGATTTGGTTTTGTCTGGGTTTTTTAACATTCCCTGCCTCAGAATATCTATGATTCTATGATTTTTCCCCTCAAAATTTTGTCTTAACAACATAAACCAGTCAGTGAACCAAAAGAACTTGAGGGTATACACACATATTTTCTTGTACTACATTACAGAGTATAATAGCAAGACATTCACTACGTGCCTGTTAACACTCGTATTATAAGAGAACAGGTTTTTAGAACCATGAGCTTGCGCAAGATACGATGATCGTAGAACCTGTACTTCGCTATTCAAAAGCACCCACTGCTGCCACCTACGGACGAAACAGATTCATAACTCCCACCTAACGCTGGAAAGTTTTATTTTAGTGGAGGACAGTGATAGTTGCAGAAAGCACTCCCTGGGAAACGAGTCTACAATTCCCTAAACAGTTTTTAATGTAGGGGAAAAAATCTTGTGATGTTATATATATAACTGGCATCTTGCTGCTTCTGAGTTATCAATGACCTGACAACTTCATGTAAATCAGTTCAGAAATCTCTAAACTCAAAATTTTCTTGGGATTTCTTCGAAATGGGAAACCACTTTTCTTAGAATAGGAAACCTTTGCTTAGGTAATACCTTCTTCTAGTGACACAGCAACTAAACTTTACCTATGGGTTGAATGTACCACCAAATTGGTGTACACATGCTACAAAATCAGCATAATATTGCACCTCATGATTAGGTAGGTTCAGGTCTAGCCACAGTTTCTTATGAAACAGTATACAGGAAAATTATACGGGAAGAGATTGAAATATTGTGTATTGGGGTGTTACTTCAGCAGCATACCTGCACACAAAAAGGCTTCTTTCCTTTGACCTGAAACATCGTTTCTGTTATCTGTAGTTCATGCTTTGATGAGTTTGTAAATAAAAAAAATAAATGTAATGGGTTTATAACTCAAGTAAAATTTTGGCCTATCAGATATATCAAAGAAATGGGCTTGGAGGCCTAAATATAGGCATGGACTTTACCTGTACTGTGGCAGAGTTTCTGTTCATGGCTTTTGTGATGCCTGGCAACTAACAACTGCAACCGAAGTCCATGCCCAGGAGTAGATTTGTTTAATTGCTGCACTATAGGCCTGCAACCCATACTGCCAGCAGGCCTCTTGTGCATTACTCTTTGGCTGAATGGGTGTCTGCAATGTAATGAACACTGTTTATGTAGCTGAAGAATTAGCTAGCACTGTAAGTGTACTAACTATAGCTAAATTAGAACTGATGAAATAGCCTAGGGGCAAGCCCCAACTCAAGCTGGCCCTTGGACAGTGAAAATGCAGTGCTGCTGTCTGTGAGCAGGCAACTAAAAGGCACCATTTGTTCTCTGACCTTGCAGGCCACCTGAAAACCAGGAGTTCAGAGTCAACACTAGCAAGCACAGCATGGCTAGGCAGGTAGCCGCCTCTCTGCCTCGTGCCAACCCCTGCGTTGAGCTCCCCAGGAAGCCAAACACATCAGGTAGATCTGTGGCAGACTGAGAACGAGTCCCTTCATCACTTTAATGTCCTTTCACTGGAACACCCTCCAGCAGCTCCCCATTTTAATTTAAAATGCTGAAACCTAGCTAGCTCTTATATGACACACAGGAGCATATATAACTCCTATATATGCTGTCAAGCAGGCATGTTCTCAGAATACACAGAAAATGCAGCTGTCACTACAACAAATTCCTGCGGCTCTAGATGCCTCCCACAGGGCAGCAGCGAGGCACCGACCAGCCAAAGAAGAATATCGCCTTTATTCCACCCAATTACCACAATGTTTGAGGTGTTTCTGGCAGCCGCTTTCAAACCGAAAACAGCCGCCGTCCTGACCCGGCAGCGACTGGGAAACACCACCTCACAACCGGGCGGAAGGCCCCGCAGCCGGCGCCGAGAGGCGGAGCAGGAGGAGTAGTGGCTTCCGTTTTCCCGCCCTCAGTGTCGGTGTAAGTGGAGCAGGGAGTGGGACAGCGAGGAAGGAGTAAGGTTTATTTGTTGAGTGCCCCTGCAGAGATGGTTTCGCTGCTGCCGCGCATCGAGCGGCTCTCGTCGCGGGTGGTGCGGGTGCTGGGCTGCAACCCGGGACCCATGACTCTGCAGGGCACCAACACCTACCTGGTGGGCACCGGCTCCAGGTAATGACCCTGCTAGGGGCCGGGGGGGGAAAGGGGAAGCGGACCGGGAGACCGCCGGATCCCCTTGCTCCCCGCCCCGCTTGAGGCTTGTGCGCTGCCTCCGGCTGTTCCGGAATCTCTTAATTAGGGTAAAAAAGAGAAGAAAGCAAATGTTACAGCGTTAAGTCTCTGTGACCGGTTCTAGGAGGTGGTTTGCGCGGGTGGGCTGTGGACCCGTGGCCGAGTGAGGGAGTGCCGTGAGGGAAGCGGATGCCTCCCAGGCCATGCTAAACGGGGGCTCCTGCGGCTCGTCCTGGAGCTGGAAATGTGTGATCTAAGTTTATTTATTATTTATTTTTCCCCTTTGTAAATTGCTGTGTCACTGGTGCGGGGGAGTGTCAGGGAGGGTGTGTGCAATACGGAGGCATCCTTGACTACCACATTGCTATGTAATGTAACATTAACTGTCACATGAGCACAAGAAGCTGTCTCACTGTTTGGGTTTTTTTCTCTTGCTTTTGTCCGTGTGTAGAAGAGTCCTTATTGACACTGGGCAGCCGAATACTCCTGAATATATTGGCTGTTTGAAGCAGGCACTGTCAGAGTTCAACATCTCAATTCAAGAAATTTTAGTGACACACTGGCATTATGATCACGTTGGTGGAATATCTGATATCTGCGAAAACATCCCTAATGGTAGGCCAGAGATTTCAAGTATTGTTGAAAATGGTAGATATGTGGTAAAGAAGAAAACTTTTACTGAGTGCTTCTGTGCAAATCAGTTTATTCTTCTAGAATCTCCGTATAAGCGATATGTAATTTCATGATCCTGCTGCAGTGTATAGAATAAGAGCAGTAGATCATCTGAATACTGTAGTGGCAGTTTTTCTTCAATTTTTATGCATACTTTTATAGTGAATTTTTCTTACATGTAAATAATGAGACCTTAATTTAACATCAGCAGTTTGCATGGTGTTAAGAGATAAAAGCTGGATACTCATTCCTTTCTATATTGACAGTAATGACAAATAGACCATTGTTTTTGCTGTGTGAAAAAAAAAAATACTCTCTGAAAAAGAACTGTGCATAACTTTGAGATTCATTACAGCAGACCATTAGTAATTGCTGACAAATTCATAGGCCTCAGATCAAGAGAGGAAAGCATGTAGGGCACTCTGCAGGTAAATTCTGATCTAAAATTATCTACTTAGTGTTGATAAACAGAGAGGTTTCTGCTTTAGTATCTGGCAGGAGAATAAGCAGAATGGATAATGTGGCAGTTCTTAGTGTCTTGGACTTTGTCACAAGCTTTGTCACAAGCTTCATCAGAGTTTGTGAAGTTGCCAAGTGTTTGTCTACAAAGAAGCATAGGCATTAGTTAAAACAGCATTGATGCCTTTGTGAGGTTTTTGATCTTGTCAGCCCATGAGCATGGCTGTAAAGGCTAGCAAAGGATATAAATAACTTTCTGGGTTGCTATATGTAGCTGTTCCAAACACGGCATTCATAGTTCATGTACAGGTGAGGATGGCAGACACTGAGGGAAGTTGCAAATCAAAGCCTCCATCCAGTGTTAGGCAAATGTTGAATAGTGCTTCTGTGAATCATAATGCAGAATGTGAGCACAGAAATGCATTGTCATAGAAACTTGTGGGTTTTGGCTCTTGATGGGTCAATATTTGTAAACTATAGTAATTATTGATAGTTCCTTATTATTTGTGGTTTTTCATCTTCAGACTTGCTGCTTGTCCAAAGTACAGTGTTCACATTCCGTGGCTTTCAATATTCAGTGTTTGTGGCTCTGGAATAAATTCATTTTGTAAAGAAAGTTACTGTACCAAATTTCTTGTTTTAAGTTTTGTATTCATACTGAATAATAATTAAGCTTTGTTAGCGACAGATAATTTTCTTTGCCTTTTTTTAAATAGACTCAGAATATCGCATCAGTAAGCTTCCTCGTATCCCTCACCGTGAAGAAAATATAAGAGGAGGACATAAATATTTTTATCTTAAAGAAGGAGATGTGGTGCAGACAGAAGGAGCCACACTCAGGTAAACACCAATTTCTGCAAGTTTTCTGGATCACCGTTTTTCTTCAGAATTCTAACATATATATGTATCCTAACTTCTAATGATTGTCAAGCCATACATCTAGTCTTTTCTACATTTAGGCATGTAGACTTCATATCATGAATTAGCAGGGTATGTTTATACGAAGAAATTGTTTTTATGAATGAGGATTATAAGGAATTAGCCTTTAGTTTTTCTTTAGCAGACAAATTAAGAATATTTCCCTTAAAAATATTTTCTCCAGGAAAATTAAATAGGATTTTACTTACTTTCTCATCACTCTTAGATGAGTAATTATTATTAAAATTGATACATTTGGGAAGTTTATCGTAGTCTGGATGGATTATTTTGCATGCCTTTCTTTTTAGTTTTAAAATATTTCCCAAAATGATACTAAAACATATGTAAAATGTTACATCTTAAACCTTTAACCTGTCAGGTTCTTGTAGGGTGCCAGTTCTGGAGGGCTTCTTCCCAGAAAGCATGTTGTCTGTCTTGTTAGCTTGAATGAATGTGAAGTAGAAAGCCACTCTGCCTCACACAAGCACACATACTGAAAAGATTGGAGCATTCTGTTACCAGACTTCTTTCATTAACAAGGCATTACTCTTCTAAGGACAAATCTTGCTTGTTTTCCTCAATTTATATGTGAATTATATTCCACTTGTAGAATATACCAGTTGGCTGATTGGAAGAAAAAATATACAAAGGATGTATGTGACCAAAAGAATTTTACTTTGTTAGTGTGAGAATAAAGTAAACAAACCAAACAAACAAGCACCTAAGCAACAACATAGAGAGTATTATATTGAATATTGCAGATCTGTCGCTAGCCTTAGTGGCATGTTGGGACAAAATCGATTTAGAGATCAAAACCAACTTCTTAAATTTGAATCCAAGTAAGACAGACGTGGCACATCTTGAGGTTTGGGGTAGTGCGACCGACCAAACTTTATGCTTGGTTAAAAGCAGGTATGTCCACCTTGTTAATTCAGTAAGCATTTTAAGGATATGATTAGATGCACCACTGGCTCCAAAATAACCAATAACTCCATTGTAAGTTTTGGTTAACCACCTTCAAGTTTTCAAGGTGTGTCAGGCGGTATTGGGTTCTTTTTCCTTTGTTTTTTTTCCATATTAGTGGTTAAGTTTCATCAGGAACTGGAGGATACCACTTCCTACCAAGACATGATAAAGCAACCAGTGAACTTGATTTTTATGTTGCCTCTGTAGGGTGTTGGCTCACCTGCTTTCTGGTGGACTCAGTAGTCAGTAAAAGCTGGAAGTCATTGCATCAGGTGGTGCTGTGCTTCTGGCCTCCCAGCCCTCTACTAATGTGGTTGGGTATTTTTTTAGCATGTACACTGTTGGCCTGTACCATGTGCTTGACACCAAATCTGTAAGTTCCTGATCATTGCTTTGATGCATCTGCCATTAACAAGATGATTCTGATGAATTTCAGCAGTGATGTAGGTCTGAGTTGTGTTCCTTTCACTTTGAATCAACTTCAACATGAAGCCTTCTGCCTTTCAAAAGTTACAGTGAAGGGACACTACAGTACAGCTCCTTAGAAGCTCATATCAGCTGCCTATTCACCTTTTTATTGATTCTAATGCAGTACTTATTCAAGCTGTGAGGTCCTAAATCATTACCACTGATGTTTAATGACCTGCACATAGAACAGCTAGAAGACCATGATTACTTGTTGTATTTGACAGCTCCACTCTGTCATGGGGCTTTCAGGGAAAAACAAATTTTGGGAGACAGAACTTTATCTGCATTGGATCCAGCAGCTCATAGTTAATTTCTAAAAGGATTGGCACCATGATCCTTTCCCTGTTTTGCTAAATGCAAGGTGTTTGTCAAGAGTTTCACACATTTCAATCTGCAAATGACATGCCAATTTTTCTTTTTTAAAGCTTCAGAATAACACAAATTCTACATGGCTAGCCAGCTCCCTTAATTCACTTCTGTTATGTGTCACATAAATAAAAGTAGGTTTGAGATGTATTCTCTACATGGTGTAGGGAATAGACTGGATTAGACAAAGCTGTTTACATTGACATTTCAGCCTTTTTTGATCTATTTTTTTCCGTTTGTGGGCTACTTTCTAAGTGTACGATTTTATTATTTGTTTCTAGCTTCTGAAAATGAAGCATATATGCTGTATGAAAAGCTAACACTTTTTGTTGTTGTTTTCTAAATAGAGTTTTATATACGCCTGGACACACTGATGATCATATGGCTTTACATCTAGAAGAAGAAAATGCTATATTTTCTGGTGACTGCATTTTAGGGGAAGGAACAACAGTAATTGAAGACCTGCATGACTACATGAAAACTTTGGAGAGGTTGTTACAAATGAAAGTAGATTTAATATATCCTGGTAAGCAGTCCTATTTATAACTGCTCTGGTTTACTATATATTTTTTAAATACAGCGTCTAAGAATCTGAGAACTCTTACTGTAAGCAAACACCATTACTAATGTAACAATTCAAGTTCACTACTTAATATGTGTCCAGTGCCCAGAAGACTTTGTGGCATGGTGGTTTGCAAGACTTGAGAATTTTTCGGTGATATGTATCTTTCCTTCCCAAGATTTCTCCATTTGAGGGTGAATCTTGTGCTTCTGTGCCCAGAGCACACAGAGGTGAGAATCACTGTTGTAGTCGTACAGCAAATCTGGGTTTTTAGTACTACTCTATCCGTACGCTTTAATATACCCTGGCAGAAAAAATAATAGTTGTTGTTTTGGTCATTTGCATCCCCACACACACTGCCAATGCGAGTTACTTAGGAATGTTTTTTGGGGAGAGATGCCTGTTGTTTGCAACACGGCTTAATTACAAATTTATCTTGGAAAGCTGCAGAACTGTCAAATGGTTGTCTTATTATAATAACTTAGCTTAAATTTGAAAAAGAGCCAAGAGGCCAAACACCACGTTCTAAAAATGTCACCAATTCATTTGTTATGTGACTTTGCTTTCGTTTTTTTCCTCTATCTCCCCCAAACCTTGCGAATGCATTTACTTTTCATATAAACCACATGTCTCTTTGGCAAGACTGGATTTTAAGAAATCATTATGTAACTAAAGTTTAAGCTCCTCATTTGGTTTTTCAGGCTACATCTCAGGATTTCTTCTGACTTTTTCTGTTCCATCTGCTTCCACTTGTCATTCTGAGTGACTGCGTCTACATTCTTAGTTCTGTCTTCTTCCATTAACCATCTGTGTTTAGCCTATGTAAGCAAATCTCTTTTGTGTTCATTCTTAAAATATGCTTCTTGAAGTAGGTGTTCTTTAAGTGCTTTAGGATCTAAGCATAAAAATGTTATTTAAGAAAAATATCATTATAGATGTTTTATGGATGTGGAAGCTGACATAGAAATAGCGACTTGCTCACAGTAATTTACTTTACTACTAGTAAAATTAATAAGAACTCCATACATGCCAAACTAAATTTTATCTGTTGTATTTCACTCTCTTCTTAGTCATTATTTATTTAGATTATACATTGACCAAGGTTAAATATTTGTGCATTTATTTGTAGCTTTTTGCTACACTGCTGTAAGTATGTTCATGCTGTACTTGCAATAAGAAAGCCAGTGGGATATTACACATTTTCAGTGGTGTACTGAGATCGTTTGGAACTAACTTTCTTTTATATCCATACAGCACAAAATGTATGTGCATTTGTGTAAAAGATAGCTATTGCCCCATCAGAAAAGTTGTTTAAATTACCGGTATGAAGGACAGTAATATGGTAACTAGAAGGTAGTTTGCTTTACCAGTACATTCTGGATAAGTTCAGTACTTTGACTTTATTGCAGTTTTAGGTCTTCATAATTCTTGAACTGTTTCTGTATGTGATTTAGCATTCACATTGCAGCCTCAGAGTTAAATGTAGGAGAGCATGAATTTCTATAACAAGCTGACTGCTGGCTACCTGTGAGTAGCTGAATTTTGCCTTCCCCTTCCACGTTTTTTTGATTTAATGTGGAAATGAATTCAGGCATAATGCTCGTGACAATCTATTTACAGCCAATAGTTGATGAGAATTCTTTGGACCAGAAAAGGGCTTTTTAGTCAGTAGAGGGCTCCCCATCCTGTAATAATAAATGATGTTGCTTGAAAATACCGGTACAAAACATACTGGAGTTAGGAAATCTGGGTGAAATTTCATGACCCGATTCTTTTCTTCAAATTCATCCTTTGTGCTTTAATTTACAGTAAAGTAAGAGAGCCTGTATTACTTCATAGGGTGTTATGAGAATAAAAACTTACTGTTTCTGATCATATGGGCTCTCCAGAATTCTGAAATAAGAAGCTGCTGTAACAAAGTCTGAATTACTGGGAAGATGGTCGATTTTGACGTCTCTTTCACGTGCCCAGGAACATTTTCTGTTTATGCAGATATTTATTGGTGAAGTTAACTGTGTAGCTGTTAATTCTGAGTGGAAAAGATCCACATCTGGATTTAGTTGTAAGCTTTCTGATATCATTTTAATGTATGTATATGCATACACATTTGCTGTAATGGATATGAAATTCTTTTAACTTTGGAAAATGTGGGTTCCATTCCAGGTACTGACATGCACTTAGAAGAGCAGGGACTGGTTTTAAGACTGCCTTGTGATTCCATGTTTGGGCCTTAATTTTGAATACTTTAATGTAACTTCTGTCATTAGAGGATGCAAAAGAATGGACAGTTACCTTTATAGTCTCTGCTCTGTATATCTTGATGTGTTTTTTCTAAATTTAAAATTTTGTTTTTATAAGTGGTAACATATTGACTAGAGATACTGTAATTACATATTTGTAATTTACGTTGTAAGTAACAATAGCTTCAAATTAAATACCTTTGAAATCATTAAATGTATGTGCATATGAGATTACAGTTTTATATTCAAATGTTGTATATTTGCTATTTATAATACTACCTTTACACAAGTTAAGCTTCAGTGTATATTTTGTCATTTCAAAACTGCTGAAGTGAGTGTATAAGTGAATATATGCATAAATATTTTTACTTGTGAAGAAGAGATTCCTTTGACACTTCATTTCATGGATATTCAAACCATGAAAAATTAGTTGCTCTTTTTCTATACACTGCCTGTCTTCAGGAAAAATAAGCTCTAATTTTAAAACCTTAAAATTAAAACCCCGTGTAGTCAGTTAAACCAAAAATACAAGTAAAGGATATGGGTTTTTTTTAAATTGTCAGCATCAGAAGAAACTGATTTGGATGATAGCAAGTCACTTCTAAAAGAAAGGTATGTTTTTTTACAATAGTTTCTGTTCTATCAATTTCTATCAACTCTTCATTAGGGACTGTAGTGATAGGACAAGGGGTTACGGCTTAAAACTTAAACAGGGGAAGTTTAGATTGGATATAAGGAGGAAATTATTTCCTGTTAGGGTGGTGAGGCACTGGAATAGGTTGCCCTCTATAGGGAGGTTGTGAATGCTCCATCCCTGGCAGTGTTCAAGACCAGGTTGGACAAAGCCTTGGGTGATATGGTTTAGAGCGAGGTGTCCCTGCATATGGCAGGGGGGTTGGAACTTGATGACCTTAAGGTCCTTTCCAACCCTAACTATTCTATGATTCTATGATTCTAATTTTATAAATTACTTGGAGTTATATTGGCAAAGCTGGAATTTGGTGCTGCTACTTCAGGTGAGGTATACAAGCAAAGAAATAGAAAATCTTGCTAAATGTGACAAATATTCATGCAAGTAAATTTCTTCATAGGTAAAACATAAATTTAATTTCTGTGCATGTAACTTTCAATGTCTGAAAAATATTTAATCTATTGTTTTAGCGTATCATGAGGCAGTATTTGATTTTTCCACAACGATTAGTTCTTTACCGATTAAGCCTTTTTCTAATTTGAATGAAAGACCTTTCAATAAGTTGAACATTTCTGATCTGCCACAGTAAAAACATGTTTTATTAACCAGCCAGACGTAAAATGATCCACATATAACCTTCCTTGTTCATTGCTTATTCCTGCCCTGACGCATTCCAGCTGGCTCACTGAGTTGTGTTCTACTAGTTTTTTTGATCAGACTTACGAAAGTACATTTTTAAGGGAATAAAGTACAGTGTGTGAGTCAGTTTTGAAGATCCGTCCTGGAAAATTTATCTGTTGTAATTAAAATGTTACTTCTCTAGCCCTTGTGTTCGCTAGATAGCCCCCAGCATTACAGTAGTACATGAGTCCTTTGCCTCACCACTACTGTTCAAAGACCAGGATCAGTTAAAATCCTCAGTATCAACATCCTTTAGGGAGACTGGTACAGGCAGAGGTAACACAAAATCTCTTCAGCAGTGAACTCCTTCCCTGAACTCCCTTCCATTATTTTTTTTAAATAGTCTAATCTTCCCTTGCTTTCCGTAGACCATTTGAAGTGTTCCCTTTCCACGTTCATGTTTTTTCAGATCCTAATTTTTCCTTTCCATATTAATACATTTCCACTGTAGACTGTGATGCAGACATCCAAGCTTAATTTTTGCGTATTTATATGCCAAAAAAAAAAGGGGGTACTCTGACAGGGTGGTACGTAGAGGTGCTGCTCCCTTCTTATGATTTTTAAGTTTACCAGAGTTTACATAAGAATGATTCAGTTATTCAATAACATACTTAATTGCAAATATAAGTAATAGTGTTCTGTTATGTGTCGTTTGATTTAGGTCACGGCCCAGTAGTACGTGATGCAAATACTAGAATCCAGGGCTACATTTCTCACCGAATTGCACGTGAACAGCAAATTCTGAATGTTTTCCAGAAGAATGTTGGAAAATCATATACATCCTCGGAACTTGTAAAGATAGTATATAAGGTAATTGTTGATTAGAAGTATCTTAGATTAAACTAAAAAAAATAAATCAAAGTTATGCTCATAAAATGGTATGTAACAGTTTAAGTATTTGAATGAAGACCATGGTGGCTTTTTAAAAGATATAAAAGAAAATATTTCTGCTTGTTTGGAATTCATATATGACTGTGCATTTAAATTATATTGCTTAACCACTTTATTGGCGTGGGGCCCGGATGATTCTTATGAACTCTTATTTCATTATCAAGATGATCCTAAGCAGAGTTTCATAGGACCAAGCAAAAATAAAGTTTTAGTGCTTGGTTCTAAGTGAAAAGTAAGAGATGACTGTTGTTATTTGTCAAGGTGTTTTTGGAGTTTTCTGAAAGATTGGTTAAAACTTCTAGTTCCTGGTCTTACCAGTTTGCAGGAGGGTGCAGATGAACTGCAGTTGCATAGAAATGGAAATCTTTCAAAGTTTTTTTTTAAGATTCAAAAATTACTGAGTTAGTTTTGTAGCAAATTTTCCTGCCAGACTCATTATTTGGAGAACCTTTTAATTTTCAGAAAGGAGGCTTTACTTTTAAGATGATAGAGCTGAAGATGATGATGTTGAGAAATGTTTTTGGGTTCTACCTAATGAGCATTGGAAATGTTAAGAGACATTCTGTTCTTCTGAAGCTGTATATTTAAACCCATGCAAATATTATCATGGAATAGAAGTGAAAGTATCAGTGGACAAATGCATCTTTAAAAATACACAGCTACACGGACAACGTGGTGCAGACCAAGTTTAGAAGAGCAAAGGTTTCTTAGCACTGGCCAACCTTTGCATAATATAGGTGGATAATGCGAAGCATGAGCAAAGCAAACAGAAGTGTGTTATTAGGCTACCAGTTTAACTGATCTATTTATTTTGGTTTGTTGTCATTATATAACTGAGTGCTCAACAGAGCATTTCAGAAGAGAAAAATCTATATTAGTAAACTACAAGTTCCATATATTGAAAAAATAATTGGGAGATATTTAAACAGAGAATGCCTATTTGTATTCCCATTAGGAGATCCCTGAAAATTTACTTCGAGCAGCAGAAAGTAACCTCCTAGTGCACTTGAAGAAGTTGGAGAAAGAAGAAAAAGTGTGTAAGTTGTGGATGGAGGGTGGAAGGAGCATAGTTTTCATTTTGATTTTCTGTGTGCTGTTTCTCATTATATTTTAGTGCATTATTTCTTGGTGTGTAAAAAAAAACCATAATAATAATACCTGCAGTTAGTTGCAGTAGCTGTCCTTCAGGCAATTTGAAGTAGAATTATATACAAAATATATGTGCAATTATATAATGCAATGCATATACATTTTTTATGTAAGACATACCATGGAATACATTCCTCTGACACTAGTGTTTATACCTTTGTGTATCTGCTGAAATTCCTAACTCTGCATGCATGTAGCATTTGATGGGATTACATTTTACAATTCTGCCTTTCCTAAATACGTATTGTTGTATGTTTGTGTTCTAGAGACAGTTAAAATCACGTAGTGTGAATTTTTACAGTCTCTGGTTAGTACAGTACTGAAGTAGAGCAACTATATTTAGTTTGCTGTTTCTAGATTGTGCCTTTACAAGGTGAAGTATTCTATTTCTGTAACGGCATATGCATGTAGAAACATCATTCAGCCAGAAGCTAAAGAAAATATTTCTTTTTGTACATTATATAACTGCACTCAGGACTGACTACTTAGAAGTAAGAATTACACAATATTTACAACTGTTTCAAATTTTCAGCATTTAGGAGCCTGAATAACAACGTGAAATGAGTGTATTTCTTCCAACTTAGACCTTCTGTTTATTTTAATAATAAATCAGCTACTAGGTGCTGTTTGAACAGTTGAGACTTAGTATTTGCAATATAATGACCTTGTTATTAAAAAAAAAATAGACTAGAGTCACACAAAGTCATTACTGAAGTTCAGAAAATCATGTCCTTATGCCATGAAACCTTAATGCATGATACTTGGTGCACCAGCTCTTGGATGTGATCTCAGTTCTTGGATTTTAACATACATTATTGACCTACACATTTCTCCAGTTTGGTTCCACAAGATTCCATATGGGCCATCAGAGGCTGTTGACTATCCTTTCCTTTCACTAGCAAAGTAGCTCAAGCAACAGCATTTTCTGTTTAGATGAAGTAGTGGATAAATTACCATCCTCTTTAAGGTAGACTTGCAGTCCTTCCTGCAAAAGATTGTGTGTGCGCATCTTAAATGTCCGAGAATTAATTTGTTTGAATGAGCGAGTGATTTTCATTCCTTAAGCCAGGGTGGGATTTTTTGGTTGGGTTTGGGTTTTTGTTGTTTGTTTTCAAAAAAAGCACCCTTTTCATGCTTACTAGAAAAAAAAAAAAAAAATGCCAAAACTCAATTTTCCTTAGAAATCACCTTTGAATTTTGAAGAGTCAGCAGATACGGAGCTTCAGATAGATATGTTCTCCAAGTTGCAACTGTCTGCAGTTACTAGAAAGCTTAAATAACTGAAGGAAGAATTGTTGTGACTGTTGTACTCAGCTGCACGCTCCTGCTTTCCAGAAAGTTTAGTTGCCTTTAACATTTTTTGGTTTGGTTTGTTTTTTAATCTTCAGTTTGTGCTCACAGAGAAGCTAGAAAGCAGTCTTATCAGAACACTGAGGGGTTTTCTGTGCTGATCTCTGCAGTGTGGAAATGGTTGCTAAATTTTTTAATACAAGCTTAGACCCAGATCGATGATAAGCATGTAACTTTATGTGACCTTAGTTTTTCAGTTCAAATTAAGGACATCTGTTAAGGAAGACTGATTCTGTTGTTTCTGAGTATGTAGCATACAAATGCTTGTGTACTCGTGGTACTTACTAATTTGGCTTTGATATGGTGTCCTTTCCACATAGTCTGAGTTGCAGTATTTCAAGTTTTGTTCTCATTGTGGAAGACTTGAGTTGCAGTCATAACACTGTCTGCTTAATTTTCACAAAGCATTTTTCCAAAGACAGATGTTGTCAGGATTGATAATGAATATGACAGGGACGTTACAACATTACAAGAGAGTTACTCGATGCAAATTACGGACATATGCTGTCTGCTGCAGTCATTAATTCACCTCTTCATTGCAGGGATTGCAGTTTATGTTAACATGACTTTTATACCTTCACTTAGGAGTGATCCTTCCTTTACAGATTTGCTTTCTCACTTAAAACAGAAAAATAATGCTTTGTGTGGACAAGGATAGTACAATAGGTGCATGTAAGCTTTCTCCAATGTGTTTTGATATAAAAATCTTGGTCATTGCTGCGCATTTTTAGAACACAGCTGATGAAGAGATAAAAATAATTTGGCTGTTCCTAATTTAGCAGCACAAGGTTTCTGTTCATAAACTTCAGAAAAGGAACCAAGTGCTCTGTTACCTCAGATTTCTTAATATCTAGAATCGTAATGTTCTGAACTGTAAATAACTATAGGCTTATTAAACCCTATTTTATTAATCATTCTTTATATTGCTAGGTTACATTGTGAAACCATGAATGTTTATCACCTTCCATTAAAACTCAACACTGGCCTGAGGGAAAGTATTCCAATACTTTTAATGAAAATGACATGTATAGACATACACGCGTATGTACAGGTGAAGTTTGAGATAGTCTAATGTTTACATATAGTGTCTAAACATTAGTTTGCAACTAATGTGGTCTTGTTTTTTAACAGTACGTGAGGACTCTCCCAACCTCAGATGGAAAAACAATTTATAAGTCACACAAGATTGCTCAAGAAAATTTTAAATCTGCACAGTTGCTGCATGAAAAAGATAAAATGATGAGCTGGAACAACAAGCAAAATCACAACTAATTCTTCTGTTAGTTTTTTTAAAAAAGTGATACCAATTCTAAAGCATCTAACAGTCAGTTAACTGGGGGTTTTGGTATTATTATTTTGGGAAATTTAAAAATAACCTATTGAGTTAATAAAATCGAACGAGTGCAAACAGCTGATTGTTACCTGGGTTATAAAATAAGCAGCATTATTATCATCAGTGGCAGAAGACAAATAGCAAGGTCTTGTAAACCGAATATTACAATATTACAAATGTAATAAATCAGATTTATTAAAAAACTCTAGTAAAAAGATGTTATTCTAAATCTGTTTTCATTTGCTTGTGCTTTCCAAAAACTGATTTTCTAGTAAATTATCTGTACATTCTAAAAAACAAGTTATTTTTGTTAACAGATGTAAATACGGGGGTTTATATTCCTTTTCTAATTTAGCTGCCTGTGCACATCTTTGCTAGTTGCTCACTGCAGTAAGTTTTAAAAAACACTGAAAGTAATTCCAGACTTCTGTTTTCTGATGGAAATGCTTTTTCTGTGGAATTCATTCAAAGGAATCATTAATTTTAACTGATCATTGTCAAAAAATGCAGAGAGTCGGAGCAGACTCTTAACTTCTTTATAAGAATCTGCAAGAATGTTATTAAAAAGCTGTATAAATTGAGATGTATACACATCATATAATGTTAACTTTGCCTACCATTCTGTAACTAGCAGCTTCAAGTTTTGGTGTTAAATCCATTTAAACTACAAATATTTTAACAAAAGTTTGTATTTGTAAAATACTGGGTAGTGTATTAAAATACAATGAAGATTAATTTAAACGGCATATTCAGTTCTCTGTGTAGAATCATAGAAATATAGAATAGTTAGGGTTGGAAAAAACCTTAAGATCATTTAGTTCCAACCCCCCTGCCATGGGCAGGGACACCACACACTAAACCATATTACCCAAGGCTCTGTCCAACCTGGCCTTGAACACCACCAGGGATGGAGCCTTCACAACTTCTCTGGCCAGCCCATTCCAGTGCCTCACCAACCTTACAGTAAAGAACTTCTTCCTTATATCCAATCTAAACTTCCCATTTAAGTTTGAACCCATTACCCCTTGTCCTATCACTACAGTCCCTAGTCAAGAGTCCCTCTCCAGCATCCTTGTAGGCTCCCTTCAGATACTGGAAGGCTGCTACGAGGTCTCCACACAGCCTTCTGTTCTCCAGGCTGAACAGCCCCAACTTTCTCAGCCTGTCTTCATATAGGAGGTGCTCCAGTCCCCTGATCATCCTCATGGCCCTCCTCTTGAGTTGTTCCAACAGTTCCAACGGGGCCATCCTTGTGGCCCTCCTCTGGACTTGTTCCAACTTGTTCCAATGTTCCTCAACATTCCTCTTTCTGTTGAGGACACCGGAACCTTTCAGAGGTGTATATATATTTGGATTACTTTGTATTCAAAAGTGTGTGAGGTTTTTATGATATATGTACACATCTTCCAATGCTGGCTCAACCTTAGGAAAAACAAAACAAAAAAATAAACAAGAAAAAAAACCCTACAAAAAATATAGATATGATGTGTTTGAAAGCACCAGTGACAATTTGTATGTCCTTGAAAATCCTTGAAAACCTTTCACCGTTCAGTCCTGTACCCTCGTCTGTCAAACATGCCTATATTTAAGGCATGTCTTAATAGCTATCATTATTTTATGAAGTTGATGGCATTTGTTCTGATCAGCTGAGCCATATCCAAAATACAAATATCACCAGGAATAGTAATCCACAGCTGAAATCATAATCTGAAGTAGTAACCACACTGAGGTTATCAGTCCTCCCCTGAGAAGGGGAAATAACTTTCTGCTCTTAAAATGATCTTTTTGCAAACTTTATTGATGTTTTTTGACCAGATCAATGACTCTTGCTCCCTTTTAACTTCCTGTGCAATGCCATTTTGTGGTCTTTTTCAGGTCTCCTGGTTTTAACTCCTTTGTGTTTTCTGTTTACCTGCATTTCCCATCTTGTCCACTTTTTTGCCCCTTCTCCCACAAACTTTATATTTTTTCAGTTCTTTTTGGATTATTTCTCTCTTCATAATTACTCAGAAACTTTCACATGGACTTCCTGCCATTACTAATTGCTGGTTTCCTGTAGCTGTTTCACAAATTTATAGTTATCTCTCTGATCATGAGGAATAAACATGGAATTATCAGTTGACAAACTGAAGTCACATGCTCTGAATGATCTCATTTTGCTTCAGGAAAACAATCAATGAAATGGCAGTTTTCTGTCATGAGGTCTAAAAGCCTAAGCTAGCAGGAAACTGGTGTGAAGTGGTGGTGTCTCATGAACTTTCTGAGCTAATAAAGAAATCTGCTGGTAGGCACAGTATCTTCTGTTTTTACTGTGCTTCAACTTTAAATACACAGAAATGGCTTCAGACTCCAGTTAAAGTACTGTTGGAAGTTGCAGGCAGTAAAGAAAGCAAGAGGACATAGATCAGAGAATTCCATGTTCCACTCTGTGCTGTAGCAAATCCATGAGACTCTCAAAAAATAGTGACATTGCAGTTTAATCAGTCTTGGCATTAATGATTTGTGTATGGTGTCTCTGGATTGTTAAAAGCAGAAATTGCGCTAAGATTCATATACAATAAAAGATATTTACATTAGCCATGACATGTTGTGAAAGTCTTGGGACTCCTTGTTGATTATGAGATTATGAATCAGAAGGAGGGTTTGCTTATTTAAAAATAGATTGATAATGTAAGCTAAATGTCACATATGTATAAAAATGTGGGTTAGCCTTTTTACATCCCTGACATGAATTCATTCATCTGTGAGGTATGCATTAAAAATTAAGAATCAAAACTGGAGAAGGCACATTTTCTCTCTCATCAAGCTGGAAGGGCAAATGTTTGATGCATTAAGTTTCTAAACTGCCAGGAACAGAAGCTGGAAGAAGCGCAAACTGTGTTTCCAGTCTTCTGCCAGCTAATTTGAAGATCCTGTCCTGACAGAAGCATCACTGATCATCGTAGTCATAAAATTGGAATCTCCCCTGGAGTGACTTGTGCCCATTACCCCTGGTGTTTTCTATGTGACTGACTCATTGTAAAAAGGGAGTCTCTTGCTTACTTGTAGCTACCCTTTAAATATTGGAATATGGTGATAATGTCGTCCCCCCCCCGAGCCTTCTCTTCTCCAGGCTGAACAAGCCTAGCTCCCTCAGTCTTTCCCCATGCAGCTTCCCAGTCCTCTGATCATCCAGCCTGCCCGTATCTTTCTTGTAGAGTGGGGACCAAACCATCACAGGCTACTAGGTGTAGCCTTACAAGCGCTAAGTAGAGTGCAATAATGACACCTTTATCTCTGCTGGGGATGCCCTTGTTGATGTAACCCAGCATCCTGCTGGCTTTCTTTGCCACAGCTGCACACTGTTCACTTCTAATGAGCTTGTGACCACCAGGACCCCCAGGTTTGATGGTAGTTACAACCTTTTCAGATTTTCTACTGTTTCTTGCTAACTTGCTTATTTACACTTCGTTTAAAATGTCATTTGTGATTATGTCTCTTAAGCATGTTTGATGATTACTAGATTCAGGAAAGGTTCCCATATAGGAAGGGAACTCTGTGTCTGTTACTGTGGGGGCAGTAATATGCCTCCTAACAAATCCTCTACACTCTTGTCCCCTGAAATGGTGTATTGGGGTTAAACACCAAGGTTTTGGTAGCAGGGAGGCCTAGGTGGCTTTTGTGAGATGTCAAAAGCTTTCCCCATTCAAACAATCATTTGGAGGCCTACTGTTTCAAAATACAGGTGTCTGGAAAGAAACCTAGTAAACACAGACCAGCAACCCACTGATGGCTGATGGTCCCTGGTGTTTTAGATCATCTTGCTTTGCCTAAGGAGCCAGAAGAAACATTGTGTGGCTGAAGAGGGAACTCCAGTAAAGAGGTTTGGAAACTGTTCAGATGAGGCAACAGGTTGCCTTTTTTCCATTTCAGTATAGAAGCTTATAGTGTACCATCAGGACAAACACAAAACCAGGTTGAAAACAACACTGTGCTTGTATGAGAGGAGTCCTAGCCAGGCACTTACATGAAGTACTTGCTGATTATAGCTTGGGGAAAGGGTATCTTGTCCCAGTTCAGTCCTATTTGTTGTATTCTGTGGAGATGAGGTGACCTGATTTCTTTTAAGGCTGAGGTGGGACACAGATGCAAGACTACACTACAAAAGAGATTCCAATTTTTATCCCATCCCAATATACTTTACAGGTGAGATATGTTACATCCATGATTACATGGTATGCAATAGGGATGTGCTTTTACAGTGTTATTGCTGAAATGTTTTTTTTTATTGTAAGGTTACAAAATAACTGCTGTGGCCATGTGTCATAGTTTAACCCCAGGCAGCCACTAAGCTGGCATGCAGCTACTCACTCCCCGTGTTGGGATGGAGAGAAGAGTAAAAGTGAGAAAACTTGTGGGTTGAGATAAAGACAATTCAATAGGTAAAGCAAAAGCCGTGAACACAAGCAAAGAAAACAAGGAATTCATTCACTACTTCCCATCAGAGGCAGGCATTCAGCATCTCCAGGAAATCAAGGCTCCATCACACATAATGGTTACTTGGGAGTACACACACCATACCTCCAAACATTCCCCTTTCCTTCTGTCTTCCCCCAGCTTTATGTGCTGAGCATGACACCGTATGGTGTCATATGGTATGGGACATCCCTTGGCTCAGTCAGCTGTCCCAGCTGTGTCCCCTCACAACTTGTGCATCCCCAGCCTACTCACTGGTGGGGTGGTGTGAGGCACAGAAAAGGCCTTTGCTCTACATAAGCACTGCTCAGCAGTAACTGTGTTATCAACAGTTTTCAGCACAAATCCAAAACCTAGCCCCACACCAGCTACTGTTAAGAAAATTACCCCAGCCAAAACCAGCACACCAGGTGATGATCTAGGACACAAAGCATCTTTGGTCTTAAATATGAATGCTAGTCCTGCTTAAACCTTTATTTTATATTGAAAAAAAATCTCCAGCTGTGATGGGGAAAATTTCTGTGGCCTTCTCTGTATTTTTAAATACCCCAGAACATCTCTAGATACCAAGTTTCCCTGTCTCCTGATTTAATAAATTCATACAAAACCTCTCAGTACCTTCACTGCTAATAAAGGTGTCTCATAGTTGGAAAAACCTGGTCATACACCAGCCAGTCTGCTCCATGAGTCCTCACTGCTCCATACAGTATGAAGAAACCAACCTATTAAGAACAGCTCATATGATATGTTTGGCACATGCTCTCAGTTCCGGCAAGGCAATGCCAATAGCTGCATCTTAATCTCTTACCCTATATTTATTAGCTACTGGCAGCAAAAGCTGTCCTGACAATGCTAAATTTCAGCCATAAATTACTCCTGTTCTTGAGCTTTCTTATATATATATGCACTGTATCTGCCAGCCAGAACACTGAATAAATAAAAGTGGCATTTATTTTGGGGAACTTAGTTCAGTTCAGTGCAGCACACCATCTCAATTTCTCAAACCTCTTCATTCGTGTTTTAACCTGGCAACAGCCTTCTCTGCCATTGGGCTGGTTTTTTTTTTTAACTCGCATCTAACCTCGCTTTTGGTCTCTTCCTGCTCTACCTCCCGGCTAGCATTTCTTCCCTTCTGGTTTTCCTGTCATTGCAGTCTTCGTTTCTGTTACTTAGATAACACAGGTTACTCCTGGCTATACGTCTAACGAGAGCAGGCGCCAGCGCAGGGAAGCTGTGGGTGTCTTGCGGCTGCGCCTCGGCCCTCACCACAGCGAGCGCGGCCTCCC